CATTACGGTCATGGTTTCACTAACCATCGTCTACTTCTTATGTTCTTAGTAAACCTAAATAGTTGGAAGTGTTACCTAACTCAAATGACTTCCACATCTCTCTCGCTTTCGTCAGTTAATACTGTTGGCGATCGACGCGAAGAATCTTGGTCAACTTACGTTTAAGTTGCTTTCGCTCTTCATCGTGGTCAGAGTCAGCCAGAATCAGCCTTCTGGCATCAATCAGTTCTGATAACGTTATGGAAATTCAGTGACGTTTGCTAACCCTCGCATGTATGTTACCGTCTTTAACGCCATTTCTACAGCAAGCCTACGATGATACCAGTTCTCTTCAAGATGATCATCGCTGTCACGTCTAGATAAATGCTTAGCTAACCTTGTTCTAAATACACACTTAGCGCCCAACTCTTCCAATCAACCGTAGACAGGTTTTGGTATGGCCTGTTTCGTACGACGAGTAAGGTACAGATATACACGAGCCCGTTCTAAAACATGATCGGAGTCCAAACTGGTACTCTGAAGAGAGCATCAATCTTCTAACGATGGCTTGTGGCAATGTATTCTATTTGTCTATCGTTGGATTCAAGTTGACGGACGCTGCTATAATGACACAGTGTCCCTCCTTATACTAGAAGTTAGTGCTGGTCAGAAACAAGTAATTACGGGACACAATTGCAACAGACGATTACTGTTGTCGGTCCGTTGGCAAGGGACTCTGTAAATACCCGAAAGATACGTTTTCAATTGACTCACCTTCCCTAATTGAGCCTTGAAGTCACCTGCCATCTTGACTACATTTGAACGTTTTTCTTTCTGTAGCAAAGTTGACAGCTTTCCATAGAATTCATCCTTTGCATTATCCGAACTGCAGTCAGTAGGTGCGTAGGCAGAGGTGACGAGTAGGCACCGCCTCGTCTCATCATCCTTCTTAGTTTTAACAGGTCCATTCCGTCGAACAGCATACACAGACGACGGTTGTTGACTATTATCCAGGCAAGGAGAGCAACTTCGACTCTACGACTCATTGCTATGCCAGCACCAGCGAGTCTACAAGATACTCTTAAGATGCATTTTGAAGATTCACTAATATGGCCAGGTTAGGTCAAATTAATAATCACACTCGGATCCTCTACATGTGTCCCAGAGACAGCATAAATTTATGGCTAGATATTCCAGAATTCTGGTGAGAGATGCTTTTTATCCGACTTGGTATAGAGTTCGGACGTTGAAAAATCCAACATGAAGTCGATGGCGGAGTCTTAGGAAACTAGAAATGCATTTTCGATGGCTTTAATCGCTCGCAATGGTCGGAAAATGAGAGGTTGGGGAGGGGAGGGGGAGGAGGAAGTGGCCTAATATTAGTATCAGAAGGTAAAGGGGAAGGGTGGAGACAGTTGAGGAGGGTAGCTTATGTTTGATTGGGTCTTTTGTGTACTACTGGAAGCGTGTAAATGGTTGACACCTAGACTGCCCACACCGTGCCTGAAAGAGTAGAAGATTTCTGTGAACGTAGAGCCATCTGCCTGAGGCCTGTCACACATGACGTTTTGTGGATTTTGTTCTAACATTCGGTAGAGAGAACCCATACAGCCAACATCGGAAGACCATGAGGCAGACGGGGTGTGCTATTTTTAGGCCCGACGTTTTCTAACCCCTACTTCCCATTGGGAAGGCAGCATAAGCGTAGTACTGCTGGTGATTTAAGGGAAACACCCTACTGCTATCAAAGCCCATCCAGTTAGCAGCTATACGACTTTCTCTCAGACCTCCATCGTGGTGTAGTAATTTACCCTAAAACGGTAACTGCTTTTCGTTTTGTCACTATCCAACAGACCTTTCTGGTATGGCAGGACCTCGCAGGCACATGTCTTGAACCAGTATAGTTCGTTGAGTCACTGTACTATACAAGTCCGATCACTACGTCAAGGTAATATTTATCGGTCAGGAAGCATGAGGGTAGAGAAAGATGTGACAAATAATTAAGGAAACTAGTGTGAAAATGTCAACGGCTGGTGAGATTAGGGGAGACAAATAGGTTAGTCATTCACTCATGGGAGAGTCGACTGGAAAGATGAGTGGAGTAATTCGGTCATTTTTCGAAAGGGATACTGATATGCAATCTCCAGCTATTGTTGAAGTCGAGGTAGTAGGTCTTCATTTTATGAACCTAACAAAGTCCATACAATCTAGATCCAAGAAATGCATCACAAAAGACTGTATGTTATCAAGATATAGAGGGAAAATGTGGAATAATGTAATAGACGGAGAACAAATAATTTAAATACACTCAAAATGCTTAGAATACCTTTAGGTATGCTTTTAGGAAACAGAAGATAAAGAAACCGATACGATCATAAGCTTTGAATCCTAGTTATACCTGATAACACAAGTCACCAAATCACATGGAGACAGAATATAACTTAACAACTGCTGTTTGTCGAGCGTTGCCATGTGGCAAACTGGACATCTAGGTGCCTTTTTCAACTAATTGCTATTATCCTGAAACTGGGAACATGACCTGAGATTGTCGCTAAAGCTAACTGAAATATTACCTAGGAAGAGGAACAAGAAGCAAATATAAGCTTTCTCCAACGAACCTTTCGCTCCGGTCTACAAAAGGTCCTTTTATAGTAACGAAATAATTAGAGATCAGTTTTTAACATCCGTCTGCGTAGTCGCTTGATGCTTAGCTGAAGTTCAGGAACAAGAAACCGCACTGAACAACGTTATTTTCATGTCAAACTGTGGTGTGTGTCGAACAGATTTCCAACTTAAGTTGTTTTCTATAATGTTACATCGGTCGAAAAAAAACGTGAATTCTACTTAAATGTTAGCGGGTCGTATTATTTTTACTCATAAAGGTACTATTGTACCTACCAGTTATTCGGTAACATTACAGTAGAGCTCGGTTCAGCAGTTTTCGACTAACCCCTGATAGTTTTGCATTTTGAGTCAAACCAGTTACTGAGTATTATCTCATTTTTTGTGCATGAAATTGGTTGCTTCAATGCAATAAATTGTGGTCATGTAACTGAGTTGTATATATATACAGATGGTTCACATAGTCTTAAAGCATACGGACAATAAGCACTAGACCTGTGTTCTGTCATCGGAGGTAAGGACAGTCAAAAGGCCTGACTCATTGTGAGGGTGAAATGAGCCGCCTCCCATTCCCTCAATTTACACACACTAATAGTCAAGCATTTCGACCTCCCCAACCTCGTGTGGGTGAATAGAGCACCAGAAGGCAGCATTAGACTTTATCGACAGCAAGGTGTCGTGGCAGTGTGTGACACTCATCGAAGCTCTCTACTCGAACTCACAGGGATGTCCACTGTTACCGTTCCTATTCAGCCTCATCATAAACGTAGTAATGAACATAACCTTAGTTACATCTGACTTCACAGGGATTGATTTACTCCCTGGAGGTCATTTGTTTGACTTGGAGTACGCCGATGATAGTATCCTACTAGGTGGAGATGCTGACAAAATGCAGGGTCTTGTGAACGCGTCGAGCAGAAATCGGAGTATGTTCGGCTGGCATGCGTTTCGCATCTGTCAAATGTAAGATGACTCCTCAGGATTGGTCTATAACTACTTCCTGTTTATGGATGCGGAGTAAAGTGGTCGACACATTCCACCACTATTTACTTGGGGAGTTGCACCAGCTCGAACGAACTGGCTACTTGCTGACGAAATCTCAGCTCGGATACCGAAAACTTGTTTGCCATTTGTGAATTTGCATCATCTGTGGCACCGACTGACGAGATACCCGACTGTCTATCAAAGGGCGAGTATACTGCCGTGCAGTCTGTTCTATCTTGTACGGCTGAGACATGGCCATTAAAAGTAGACGACATAAAGCGATTGCAGGGTTTTGACGGCAGTTGTCTTCGTAGCGTTGCTCGCGTTTGGTGGAATCCCCGTGTGAGCGATGTTGAAGTCAAGCGAGGGGCATTAGGCAAGACAATCAATAGGATTGACGAGGTTGTAAACCTTAGTTGGTTCAACATGTACTGCGCATGCCTTGCCATAGCTTCCCTCGTCGTGCCATGCTAGAGGAAGTTGGAAGAGGGTTCAGGGTGGCCAGACTAAAACGTGGCACTAGTCAATGAAGTTTCTGACTGCTGTTTTGAGCCATATGGAGAGGAGTAGACTGCCTTGTTGGGGTCCCTGAAACGATAACAATGACTGGTCGAGGACTCTTGTCGACATGATTGAAAATCGGTCACAATGGTGCAGATGTACTCACTCTTTGATGTCTTTTAAAGCTTGAATATTCGTACTAACCTTTATCTTCAGATTGTTTATTCTCTCATTCTACTTTATCTGCTTACTTTGATATCGCCTGTTTTCTGTCCACCTGTTGTTTGTGTACTTCTGTGAAGTGTAACAACTTGAGCGGATGCACTTTTGTGCTAGTTTGTGCATTGGTTTTGTCTGTGTCACATTCGTGGCTATTATCTGTGTTTATGTGTTCAGAACACAGCCAGTCGCAAATTAATGCGGTAAATTGAATCATGTAATAATAATGAAAGATGGAATGTGTTGGAAATCTATTACAACCGGTGATGAAGCATATACATTCACTTGTCAACCTACTGTTTGTTCAGTGTTCTTTTAAACGGCTAACCATGTATTTGTGACGCATACAAAACCTTAATTGTATGTTAACTAAAGTGTACGGTATGAAGAGGTGGAGGAATTTTTTTACATACTATAATAAAAGGTGAGGAAAATAACTGATGCCTGTGCAGTGACTTTGTGCAGTTGTGGCATATTCGCCTTGGTGGTCAACTTTTAGGCATTTGTTCGGATACTTAAATCTGGTTTCACCTATCAAATTTTCGACAGCATAGCTCAAATTTAATCTATGAAGTTGCACGCTTGTTGAGTTACGTTACATTTTATCGACTGACATTGTTTCAGGGCGCATATGTTTACCTAATTGTATTCACTGCTTCTATGTAAATAATTAAGTGTTGTATTTCACTTTTTAGAGAGACGAGGCCGTACAGTTAGTACGCGATGGAATAGCCGCTGGTATATTCAACGATATGGGATCTGGTAGCAATGTTGACGTTTGTATTATCACCAAAGATGGTACTGAGTATATTCGACCCTATGACGAAGCTAATGTAAAAGGCAAAAGGTAAATAGCATGCCTGGGTTCATTAACAATTATTCAGCTCTATCATCTGGTAATTAATTTTCAAACAAGGGTTTTATTTGAAAATATTAACTATTCAAGATAATACCTAAATATTTCAGCATGGTTTGCAGTTATTCGAACATGCTTCAGTTAAGTGCTGAGGTGTAAATTGTTGAATTTATTGTGAGTGGACTTTCAACAGCTGTCTCTTAGCTTCTAGTTGTACTCACCCTGTCTGGTAAGATCTCATATTGGTTAGTACACAAACCTTTCTAGAGAGTAGGGCTGTAGTATTGCATTTCTGCAGTTAATGATGTGATTTCCATATTGATCATGATTTTTTTAGGAGGAAGAGCTCTTGTTTTTCTTTTGAGAAAAGATTTCAAGTGATCGACAATAGAGAGACGAACAGTGAACCAGAACAAAGTAGTTTCAATTCACAACATTGACTCTCATCAACGTTGTATAACCTAATGGGTATTTAGACTCGAAATTATAGTCGGAGCTTATCATACTTTTCATGGGCTGCCTTTTGCCGCCATAGGCGGTGTGGAGTGTAAGATTCCGCCTAGACCGTGATCGAGCTTCTGACTTTGATACACAAGCTGCAAAGCAACGTCGCATCCTCACACTCCATGGATGCCAGTTACAAAAGTAGGTTCGTATTCCATTCATGCGTTTCATATCTTGAAGTCCGTGTTCACCACTAGTTTGGAATCAAGGTTTTATAACTCACTTCTAGCTATCTGAATTCATCGTTACCTAGTGACTGCATAAACTTACGAGACTTGTAATGTATCCTTGAGAAATACAATCGATTTTTAGGTATGTTGTTTCAACGTTCAGTCCTTCTACTGACTGAACTGATGACTGTCATTCTCATGTACTGATTTTTGTTGCCAGATTTCTTTATCTTTACATGGTCCGTGTATCAAATCTATTTAGCAATACATTCTATTTGTCTGATTTTGTTGAAA